ATATCCTTAGTGAAGATAGAATGACGGATTATTTCTACACTTCGTTTGTGTATTTAACTTCTTTCCCTGTGTGCACCAATAAGCTATCACGGACGGGAGAAATTTCATGGTTTTGTCTGGGGCTATTATCCGTATCCCGGCCAGGACTTGACATCTTTTTGTTGTCATGTTGGTGATTGAATCACAAAACCAAGTGTACATTATCCTATCCAATACGGCTGAACTATACAAGCGTTCCAAGCATAAAGAGGTTCCGTCTGTTTCTGCTGTGACAAATAAGGATCAGTATTTGCTCCTAAACTGTGTCGCATGACCATTGGTATTCATTGCTACTTGTTTCCGTTTCAATGGCCTTTCGACGTCAGTCTTTATTATTATTTATCTTTAATTCCTCTACAGATAGATGCAGTGGAGATGAAAATCGATCGCTTGTCAAGCATGTACAAATGCGATCGAATAGGACGACTACCTTTGCTTTCACCGGATTGTCGACCAGAGCTGCGGGGTGTTCAAGGACAGTTAAACAGTAAGTGATTTTCGTGTGCCAGTTATTCCGCTGATCATTTTCTAGGATTCAATGATGGCAATCCTACGTTTCTGCCTTACCATTTGTCAGCAAACGCTCTGTTGATTGGACGAGGTACGTTGTGTCTATTGTCTTATTTGCAAATTCTTATTTGTTTTTTAAGCCCAGCAAACATTTGAATCAGGAGAATTTCAAACCGGCAGAGAATTGCAACACCGAAAAAGTGATGGGCATGGTTTTGGACCTCAATTAAACGTAGTCAGGGGAACCATAAAACAATGCTCATGGGATGCAACCAGTTCAACTAGACCGGAGCTCGAAAACATTTCTCAACCGGAACGACATTCAACATATGGAATGGATCGGGTGCCTCAGTCACACAAAGCAAAAACTGATGTCGACTTGGTTCTCAGCCAAAACGCAGATAAAAATGTTTCGGATCCGACCGCGTTATCGAATGCACAAGAAACATCGGATGCGGTTGAAGCCTGCAATACACCCCATGAAACAGTATCCGATTCTTCGTCCGATCAAAAACAACCTTGTTCATTGGTAGATGCTCAAGCAGTTTCTCCATTGCAAGTGAAACGCAGAAGTTGGATGTATCCAGTATCGTTGGAACAACTACCTGATGCTGGTGTGCCAAAGTTGAAAGATCAAACCAGTTCGGAGGATGCCACAGATACGATTCCCCTGTAGATTGCAACCCATAACGAGGAGGATGAAAATAACAGTTATTTTGGGTCACCGTGTATGTCTTGCATTTGTGCACAAATGTTTATCTGTCAAGATCCACTCGTCAATCGGTCACTCATTCACTTGTAGATGTGGGTTCACTTACAGCCACAGACCGACCGCACGCTCCAAATATACAAACCCACACAAACGATATCCTACCCTATATCCCATTTTCTACTTCATTTGTAAGTACTTCTTCGAGAAAGAGATTAAGAACGTTCAGTGTGGATAACAATTATTTAAAGAGTGTGATTGATTGTGCTTTTCTATTTTGAGAACAAAAATAAACTATTTCATAAATTGTTGTCAACAAAACACTTTTGAACTAACACTAAATTTGGGGTTCATTTGCTACTAACCCAAGCAAGACAAATAACGAGCTAATGTCCAATTTTTGAACGTCACCGTTTTGTGGAATGCCACTCCCGGAAATTAATAGTTGAGTAGCGCAATTCACTTATTCAGATACGAGCTGTAGCCCAATTCACCGATGATATCTCAGCGCGCATGCGACAAACGTCGTAAAACCAATGAGGAATTGTTGCTTATAGTTTTGCACAAAAATGAGAGCGGAACAAGTGCACAGAAAATTCTCATAAGATTAGTCAAAAATTGGTGAATCAACCGCTATTGGTTGTAAATTATTATCATTTGAATGGTTCGAAAATGGCGGTATACGCATCATACTGTGTTGGATGATTTTCAGGTTTAACATTGTAGACAGAAAGTAGGGCAAGACGCTTTTCCAGAGCTTTCACCCAAGCCGACTCCTTTCCAATAGCAGTGTGTCTCGAGGAATAGGGACTGGATGTGAGTTGTGGTATAGTTCGCTGTGCTCATCTTTGTTCATCAGTGCTGCGGTCCTCAACGATCGATTTTGAAGAGACCAGCAAATTCATTGATCAAATGGAGACTCTAATCATATATTGGGTATCTCTCCAACCACTGCGCCGACGCTTTTGAACTGGTGATCTGTAGTAATGTCAAATGCGTGAGCTCACTTCAGATCGCTGGAGAGAAAATGTGTGTTTATATGGGTGGATACCCAGTTGTTTGTCTACCTCTCCGATTGAGCACCGGACAAAAAGAACGACACAAGGAAAACCGTATACTATTCGTCTGAACGCGTAGTTCCCAACAGTCCTTGGTGATGGGCACAGGTGATCTCTCAGCCACAACGGGTTTGTAGACGAAAATATTGATGGTGGGGAAAATAAAGAATTGTTGCCTTATGATAGCAATGATATCAAACGAATAACCTGTAGGTTTATTTCATTCATCTTCTGGTTTTCTCACTCCCTCAATGCATGATTCAGTGAAATCCGTAGTATGTTAGCTTTGCAGCAAACCAAAGTTGAAATAATTCTTCTAAATCTTTATCTTACCGTGAGTCTGTTGTTTAGTCATCTTGGAGTTGTAGTGACATTACTATCCACTTAACTCCAACGCAGGTTTCATTCGGAAAAAAATGTGTGAAAATATTTCAGACTCCGCAATCACGGTCATCTTACTCTTCAGAAACACACATATACAGGTGTCGATCAAACTCGTGCAACATGATCCTCATTTCGGAAATAGATTTCAATATCCAACATCATGCTTGTAGATTGATGGCTACGGGTGAAATGCATTACATTTACTTGACATTGAGTAGCACAATATACTTTCTGGTAGTTCGAAAGTTACAAATAAGATTTGGAAAATATTTGGTATAAAGCAGCATAAAAGTTTATTCTTTCTGAAAGCTCATTGCTGTACCATGAGGGTGTTTATTAGGTTGAACACACGTATTCTTAATTACCTTATCTCTTTTCATTCAGTGCACAATGATGAGCCAATTAATGAAAATTTTATACCCAAAATAAACTGATAAATTATTTGGCTGCAAACTACCTACGCATAATCTCTAATACTGAAAGAAATAAAAATAGCTCCCAAGAAGAACAAAGTTTACTCCTGATAGTGGACATTGAGGTATGTGGCTTGTGGAGTAGCTTCAACATCTTCAAATAGAACATGCACTAGATGAAAATACAATGCCTGAATTAAGTCTATGGGTCCTTTTGATAAATGCAATTTAGTTATCATGTTTAGTGTGGCTTTCATAATGTAACAATGATGCACCATCAATCGCCGTCGAAGTCGACAAATCGTGCGTTTTAATGTCATTTGACTAATGGAAGCAAAGAGATGATTAGATATTACAAATATGTTTGTGTCTCATGTAGCGTAATACCATATTCAAACCCGTGAAAGAAGCTGGAAAAACCAAACGTTGTGAGGTACAAAGCTTTTGAAAACCAGGGTGCTGCACGAGTTTGATCAATATGTGCATTGTTTCAAGTAAGTAATGGAGGATTTGGTTCAATTTCAAAGGTGAATTTGATGCGTTTATTGCAAATGAAGCGTGAACTGAAAACCTAGGAAACACTGGTCAGCTGTTTTGACCTGATTGGGTCTCATTAGCCTTGTGAATCCTTCGACCCAACTGCGGATCGAACCCGGTACCTCACACAAGTAGAGTGCAAGCATACTACCCACTTGTTTATCGGGCAGCTGATCAGACCGTTTTTATTTGCCATTTACACGATATATCACAACCCATCTTTGCGAGCTTGTTGCGGGCCACCGACGTCGCTCATCTCAGCACTAGCCTCCGATTGGATTGGCAGTGCTGATGAGACCCAATCAGGTCAAAACATCTGTGTTGTTGTTAGTGTTATGATTCCATAAGGCGATGATGGTCGAGGATCGTCATTTATTGCCAATAACGCTCAGAATATGGTTAAATGTCCAAATATATTATTTGGGACATGTTTGAATTCCCGCAAACACAGGATATGTAATGTAACGGTCCACTATCAGATGCCCATTCTATTATTCACTATACTGAACAGCACCAGTTTACTCCATCAGGTATTTTTCATTTTTTGGTCGTTAAAACAAACCGCTGCTCGCAGATTTTTACGTACTACTCACAAGTGAGTAGTAATTCACGACATAAGTAATTGTTTTGGATCACAAAGTTAATGCTGGGTTATAGAAACGACGAANATATTTGAACTATTGTCACCGAAAAAGCGGTGAAATTTCAGCATTGCACGTCACGTGAACTGGATGAAAATCGAAAGACAAATTAACTACATTAGATGCTCTAATGTCCGCTGGTATTTTTCATTTACATAACTTTTATAAAGATCATGAAAAAAATCAGTCAAGCATAACAATAACTGTTCTTGAAGCTAGTGAAGCCATGACAAATCATGAGTAATAGGAAGTGAGACTAACTCAAAACACTCACTAATAAATCGGTTTTGAGCACTAGCCAAGTCGAGTAGTCACTTTCATTATTTTGTTTTTGAAGTTGCAAATGGTTTCATGGGAACTTGCAGGTGGGCCATTTTTCATGAGTTTTTCCTCACTTGTTACGGTACCCAAATAGGCTGGGTCTGTACTATTTTCCACAGGCGTCATTGAAGACACGCAAAAATAAGATCGGGACAATGTGAAGCAGTGTCGCTCAAGCAGTTAACCCCCAGCATCACATTATCAATGATCCTGCAACAACATGGAACAGAGACGGAACAATTTGATGAACTGAATAGAAATTGAATAGCGCTAAATTTATTTAGCCAGTTACAATGTGTTTATTTGGCGAACCAATAAAATTGATTCCTTAACAGAAGTAAATTGTTATCTCGGACATTTCACGGTCTTGGGTAGTATTTCAGTTATGATCTAATAATGACCAAATTACAGAAGCGTTCATTGAGTCAACGCATATCGATTGACCTTGACTAGGTAAAGATACTGTAGTATGCAGGAACAACCCAAGATATGAATTCACTCAAAACGCTGCCAGGAAGTTGACTCCAGGAAACGCCATGCGAGTTCTTATACCGCTAGCGTCATCACAAACGGCCGCACAATCCTTGTCTAGGTAGGACACACTCCCGACAGTAGGTTTTCAGTAGAACGGCTTTCAATCAATCCCTAAGACAAGGAAAATCCCTTAACAAGCAAGAACCCAAAGATCCAATGAGACATGGAGACGATTTACTTTCAATTCAAAATGGTTGAGCCCGTACCTCATCTACAATGTGCCATAAACATTGGTCCTCATGGGGAAAATGGTCTTTCATGCTAATGTGATATGCCAAAGCGTAGCACACGTATCCATAGATCAGGCATTTTGGCCAGCCTTGAACATACTCTGCACTGTGAGTTGAGCAAGTTTAAATCAAACACAAGCACGTTTTCCGAATTCTAGCACCTGTTTTCATCTACAACGCCTCTATTTTACCCGAGTTTACCGGAATTGTCTTTTAACCTAGACTAATTGAAAAGGCACTGAAAACCCAGCCCAATTAGGTGATATTGTTTTCAAATGGCTTGAATTCAGTTCTGTGTTCTGTTGCTTAGAGCTATCAACTCCTCTCACCATCGGGTGGAACGAAGCAAACACTTGATTCGACGGACTCTACTGGAATGTGATTTGCAGTGAATTCATCTTCTCCTATGCCCAAAGTTTGTCCTATTTTTCGCATGCATTTTCTTATCGTACTGTTTTGGACAATACCACTCGTGCATTTGGTCTCCTATACAAACATTGTGTGCTTCACTTTTGGTGTTTAATAAATGACAGTTTTTCTTTTAGTTCATTTACGGAAGACAATCAACGTTTTTTTTAGCCAGTTTTACAGAACTCATTCATTCCGTACCGCGGATGCCGAGTTTCATACCAAACTAACACCGTACCGCCTTTGATCTAACCACGTCATTAAATACCAAACGCAAAGTCCACACAGATGTACATTTTCATGCCGTTGAGTTTGTGATGAACCAGTTAATTTTGTGCTTTGTTCCCACGATGTTCCGTGCATTTCTGTTTCAACACTCTCCCTCCTCTTGCTGATGTTGTTCATCCAATCATTTACCTTCCAATAGTATACGATACTACC